ATTTTGGTGATTATGCTACACAAATAGAGAGCAAGGTCCTATAGGTAAGTAAAAGCATTATCCTGTAAGAAATGTGGACCGGGGTGTGGCACGCGTTGGTGTCAGGAATGTTCAGAATAGCACGTCCATGGTGGCACGCTTATGCACAATATATGTAATGGCACGTCTCGTTGTGACATGCATAGGCACGTTTTCCATGTCGGGAATGACACGTATTAGCACGTGTACAGCGTTGGCACGTATTCGAAATGACACGTATTAGCACGTGTACAGCGTTGGCACGTATTCGAATGACATGTATTAGCACGTGTACAGCGTCGGCACATATTCGAAATGACTCGTATTAGCACGTGTACTGCGTTGGCACGTATTCGAAATGACACGTATAGAGCTGTTTCACGTAATAGCACGTATTCGAATAGCACGTATAGGACTTTTTATGTAATGGCACTTTTTTCTACCCCACCCATTTAGGCACGTATTAAGTAATAGAACGTATACGATTGATACGAATTGAGTAATGGCACGTATTGGAATAGCACGTATAGAACTATTTTACGTAATGGCACTTTTTTATCTGCATGTGTAGGCCCATATACAATTGACACTGATTAGCACGTTTGAAGTAATGATGCATGTCGTGCTGATAACTAAAAATAGGCAAATTTTATAACGCTTATTAAGAAATTCAACATATATAAATTTTATTATAAGGAAATTAAAACTTACAATTTTTTTTAGGAAAAGTTTAACAGCTGTTTCTAATTTATTTGTTATTAAAGTACATACTTTTTAAAAAAAATTCATGTTTCTAGCACAAATGTTTTTGCTTAGATTATACTTATGTGCTAGATTCGGCTATAAGGCCATTTGAAGTTGATTCTTCGGTTAATGTAACCCCCCTCCTCCTGGCCATCCCCCAAAAACGAACAAGCCAATCACAATATTGTAATATTGTTATCCAATCATATCTCATCCAGTAATCGGCCTGTTTAATTTTTTTGTTTAATTTGTTTAATTTGTTATACCCCCCCGTCCGAGCTCAAAAGTTGACGTTAACCGAAGAATCAACTTCAAGCGGCCTTAGGCACACATGTATAGGCGCATGACGAAACCTATGACGCATGGCGAAATTCATGATAAATAACAAAACCCATAATGATTTTGATGAAGCATAAGACTATTATTCATTTCTTTCATAATGGAAATAAATTAGTCCATGTAAAGTTAATTTTTTTGTTCATTATTATATCTACCCAGTTTCTATTATTTTTTGACATATAGATCCGATATTTCCCGATGATTTGCTACAACCACCCGGATACATCCGATATTGGTGTTCTATAAATTGGAAGGGCTTAGATTCGGTATTCAGAACACGTGATAACCTCGGAAAACTCGTTGACATTAAGGTTTGGATTTTTAGTATTTCAAGTCGATATGCATAGTTGATTCTTTAAAGCATATTATATAAACATGGTAAATTACAAGTAATTTTTTTTTGATATTTAAATAGTTAATATATCGTTAGTAAATTTATATTATGTGCAATATATATAAATAATTCAACAAATTAAATTTAGTCACTGAGCCGGTTTAGTTGTATCAAAATTTATCGACTCGAAAATTTTATCGACTACAATCACTATGGATTTGTATGAAGCATGTTTTAGGGAAAATCATGCAAGGAATTTTCTAAACCACGCGTTCGGAAAATCAATCCTACGCCGTGGTGTTATTAGTGAACAACTAGCAAAAAAATCATCTATTTAGATCAATGTAATGTAAAGCTAAAAATTAACCTTTGTATGTCTTGTTAATTTTGTGAAGTTAATTTGTTATACAGTAATTGATGATTTAATAGAAAAAATTCGTTGTCAAGTTTTCATACAACCGATGAATCTTTACGATGGTGAATAATAATAATTTTAAAAAATTTAAGGTTCAAAATATTCAGAGGTCGGTATAAAGAAGATTGCCAGGGTCAACTGTATGCTTACATTTTTTAGGAAATTAGTTTCGGCAAGAGTTTCGTCATGCGTCACGGTTTCGTCATGCGTCACGGGTTTCGTCATGCGTCATGGGTTTCGTCATGCGTCATGAGTTTCGTCAATCGCCAATGGTTTCGTCAGACGAAACAATGACTAAACCATGCGTCATTGAAAAAAGTTGCGTCAAGCATAGTGATGTTCCGCGTACAGTACTGTACGTACGTACTATACGTACGTACGTTGTGAGCGTGAATTTACCATAGATGGTAAAGATTGGTGCCGGTGTAATACAAGGTCGATTTTCAAAATTTACAAAATTTACAAAATTTTGAAAAAAGAGTAAATTTTGAAAAAAGGGTAAAACAACAAAATTTTGAAAAACAACAAAATTTTGAAAAAAGAGTAAATTGTTAAAATTTTCAAAATTTATTCGATATGTAAAAATAAGTATATAAGCACTTAATATTTACCTTCAATAAAGATAACTCTGGAGAGTCCAAAGTTCCAAGTTAAAGAAATTCGAGTATTTAACTTGAGATTCACTCTTCTATTGCTAACTCGGTAGAGTTCAAAGCTCCAAGTTAAAGAAATCAGAGTATTTAACTTGTGATTCCCCCCCGATAAGTAAAATCTGTAATAACAATTGGAATTCGTGACCAAATCCCGTGATTCTGTATAAAGAGATTCGTGACGTAATCTAGAGTTCTAACCCGACACTATCGCTAAGAACCCAATTCACCCTAGTTACTCGGACCAAGTCTTTTCACGCCTTAATCGTTGCCTTACCAATACTAGGGGTTTGGTTATATTAGTTGTGGTGTTCTGGTTAGAGTAGTTTAGTTAATTTTATTAGTGTTTAGTTGGATTATTTGGACCCAGTGAATTATTTGCACTCCCACAATGTACGTACGTACATACTTGATTTTAGTGGCCATACTAGTGGGTTTCACAATACCATTGGTTGGAGTAGCATGCACCGAACACAACTTGGTACGTCACCATATTTATAAATCGTATACTCCTAAATAACGCTCCGAGCACGGGCGTATTCGGAGTTGATTCATTTTTTAATCATAAGGCCGCTCAAAGTTGATTAGTTGGTTAACGTCAATATTTTGGACTCAGGCACGAGGGGGGGAGGGAAAATTTAAACAAACACAGATGTTCCCAAGAAAATTTGATCAAATCTCATTGGTCAACCTTAATCACATGATTAATGAAGTTTATGCTGTGCTGTGATTGGCTTGTTTAATTTTGGGGGGAACAGTTAACCGAGAGGGGGGGATTACGTTAACCAACTAATCAACTTTGAACGGCCTAAGAATAATTTATTAGTTGTAAATTACGTAGGAATCTAACTCCATATTGAGCAATTTGAATACGTAGTAATTATACACATCTCCAATTATCATTGTTGCTAATGTAAAATACTAAAAATGCAGCACGGAATTATAATGCAAAGTTTAGTTTTGCGCAAACAAGTTTGGAAACGCATTTAAACTAGCTTACATGATTGATTCTGTGTCATACCGTATATTATGACATCATATTATTAGTGGCGTCGTACTTGATTTTGGTGGCTATACCATTGGCCGGAGTAGCATACACCGAACACAACCTGGTACGTCACCATATTTATAAATCGTATACTCCTAAATAACGCTCCGAGCACTGGCGTATTCGGAGTTGATTCATTCTTTAATCATAAGAATAATTTATTAGTTTTAAATTACGTAATCTAACTCCATATTGAGCGTAGTAATTATACACATCTCCAATTTTATAATTGTGGATAATGTAAAATACTAAAAATGCAACACGGAATTATAATGCAAAGTTTAGTTTTGCGCAAACGAGTTTGGAAACGCATTTAAGCTAACTTACATGATTGATTCTGTGTCATACCGTATACTTATTATGACATCAAATTATTAGTGGCGGCGTCGTAATTGATTTTGTGGCTATACTAGTGGGCTTCACAATATCATTTGTCGGAGTAGCATACACCGAACACAACATGGTATGTCACCGTATTTATAAATCGTATACGTTCCGAACACGGGCGTATTCGGAGTTGATTCATTTTTTAATCATAAGAACAATTTATTAGTTATAAATTACGTACGTAGGAAATCTAACTCCATATTAATTTGAATACATAATTATACACATCTCCAATTTTATCATTGTGGCTAATGTAAAATACTAAAAATGCAACACGGAATTATAATGCAAAGTTTAGTTTTGCGCAAACAAGTTTGGAAACGCATTTAAACTAACTTACATGACTGATTCTGTGTCATACCGTATATTATGACATCATATTATTAGTGGCGTCGTACTTGATTTTGGTGGCTATACCATTGGCCGGAGTAGCATACACCGAACACAATCTGGTACGTCATCGTATTTATAAATTGTATACTCCTAAATAACGCCCGGTCACGGGCGTATTCGGAGTTGATTCATTTTAATCATAAGAATTATTTATTAGTTTTTAAATTAGGAAATCTAACTCCATATTGAGAATTTTGAATAGCAATTATACATATTTCCAATTTTATCATTGTGGCTAATGCAAAATACTTTAAATGTAACACGGAATTATAATATATATCGGTTAACAAAGTTTTTTTTACATTATCTATGATAATGTAACTAAAAATGGAAAATTTAATAACTAAACTCTTATTTTTCATCCATTTTTACATATAACATTATATGCCTTTATAATTTATCTATTGGTAGTACAGGTGTTTATGCAAATATATTTAATTGCGGCAAGCGACATTAACATTAAAATAATTCTTTAATTGCGGCAAGCCTGATAAATCCGACATTAACATTAAAATAATTCTGACAATGATTTTTATGATTAAAAAGATCATAGTTAAAATATCTGAAAAGTTTTTGCATACCAACAGGTATTTATTTACTAGACAAAATAATGACAGGTTTTTATCAACTAGACAAAATAATCGGGAAACCAATAGTGGCTGGATTAGTAGAATGATAAAAGAGCAGCATATCGACTCAGTTGATTATAAAGAATTTGAAGATCAGGAATATGTTAACAGCGGAAATTCCGGAATTATAATGAAGGTATCTTGGACAACAAAAAGTAAGATCGTTATCTTAAAACAAATTGTGCCCGATGAAATTATGACAGAGTCGGAAAATCAAGAGCTTATTAAGGAGGTAAGATCGATTTGCCAACTCATTTATACCACTTTTGATTCATAAACTAAAATTGTGATTATTTATTAAATAGATCAAAGCTTTTCATTCGATTAAAGTTAGAGAACAATCGGCTATAAATGAAATAGGTTGCAGAAATATAATTGAATGTTTTGGAGTATCGCGTCTCAATGAGGAAGAACCATTTTTGCTGGTATTAGAATACGCAGATCTAGGTTGTTTGCGAGACTATCTGTATAAACACCGTGATAATTTGATGTGGGAACAAAAAATCAATATCGCGCGGCAGGTTACGTGTGGATTACACTTTCTTCATAAAAATGAAATTTTACACCGTGACTTAGTAAGTTCTTTTCTTGTTGATCAAAAATTAATGTTTTCAATGATTATAACGAAAAATCTGTCATATTAGCATACCGGAAATATAGTCATTAAAAGAGATGAAAGCTTTGAAGACGGCATTAGAGTAATCATCATTGATTTTGGATTCTCTAAGGTTGTTTCTCGCAATAGCATATCGCATCAGGGAATACAATGTCAAATAAACTTTATGGATCCTTATATTCTAAATCTATTAAACGAACAATTTGGACAAATATTTAATTATCCATCTGATATATATAGCCTTGGGATAATCTTTTGGGAAATTTCAAGCAATGGCCAAAAACCACAAACAGAGTGTAATCACATTACGACAATGATGAAGAGAATAGACGGAGAACGGGAAAAGCCAGTTGCTGGATCTACTCGCTCCTTCGTCGAACTTTATAAGAAATGCTGGGATCCCACTCCAAATAATCGACCCGATATTTATCAAGTTTATGAATCAATTCATAGAGATGAAATTATATCGGGCGAAATTTGGAAATCCTAATCAGATGAGAAATTTTCCATGTGCACAATTTAATTTCGATGATTTTCTAGTTTCAATTAATTTATAACTCAAATAATATATCTCATATTGGGCGATCGAGCACTGCAAAGTTGGTTAGTTGATTAACGTCAACATTTTGAACTCAGACACAAATACATATGCCACAGAATATTTAATGAAATTTCATTGGCAAACTTTAATCCATGATTGTTGAAGATTATTCTGTGTTGTAATTGATCTCCTGACCAAGAAGCACGTCAGTTTTCTGTGCCAGGTAATGTTGGCCATCGAGTTAATTGAGTCTAAACGTTATAATATAGCACAGGCCGTTATTTATTTTGTTTGATATTTAAAACCATATGTTTTAAAATTTTCAAACTATAGATTTTTTATTTAGAAGCCAAACCATAGTTAGCTTAGTAGGATTATGAGTTATTCAATGTTAATCTACAATAGTCGACACAACCTGGCACAGAAAACCGATGTGCAACCAATATTAAGCAATTATTCAACTTTGAACGACTTAGGAGTTTATATCTATTAAACTATAAAAATTATCTATTATAGCTTTTTTTTTGTTTTTGACTTAGTATTTGTATTAGAACATAGTTTTGAAATAACAAAGTGTTTGGTTTACAGTCATCTAAAATAGCATATATTCAGAATTTTGCATTTGATCAGATATTGTGATCAAAGCGCTATATGCCACAAATTATTACTTGACAATTATCACACTCTTGGGTTAAAAATGATTATAATAAAGTTGTTCTAATATAAAGATTAAATTAATATATTTTTAGTAAGTTGAAATCTAAAATGTGATTATTAGATAGAATAATTATAGTTAAAATTGTTTATTAATATTTTTATTTAAAATATATTGTGCAATAAAGATTTATAAAATTTTTGAGTATTTCATGGTAATTTCAAGGATTCATTATGTTATAAACTTATTTAGCTAATTTATTTTAGAAACACTAAGTAAAAATATTCAAAACTTCACAAATATAAGTATATTCTAATTTTAAATTTTAATAAAAATAGAAGATAGAAAATTATAACCAAATAAATATAATTTGTTATATAATAAATTATTAAGGATAAAGTGTATGTAGATAATTTATTATATGATATGCATAGCAAATTTTTGTGTAACAGATTATATAATAAACACAAATCTAATTGGATAATTACCTGTTTTAAAAATATTTTTACTATGTTTTTTGTGTAATCTGGCAAATTTGGGCATCACCAGCAAATTTAACTGTATAACACTAGTCGAAAATTTTTAATATAATAGGCCGATATTAAGGCGAAATATATAAAATCAAAAATCATAAAATCAGGTACAGTCAGACCTCGATATAATCACCAGGTTGGGAAACAAATATTTGGTGATTATAAAAAAGTGTGACTATATTAAG